TGAATCCAAAATAAAATCAAAATTAGATTAAGATAAATAAGCATTTAAAAATTAAAAAAGTATTTCTTTCTATTAGCTTAAGATTATGATGATGATGAAAATTAATATTATAACTATAAGATGTCTTCATCATAACAAATGACTGCTAACTTTTAAAATAATAAAAATTTTATTCGTCCTAGTTAAGAATCAGATACGTATTATGAGATATAGCAATACCTGATAAATTAATAGCACTAAAATTTTCATCTCTCTCCAGTTTAAGAAATGAAGACAGATAATGAAATTATATCTAATAAAAAAAAGACTTAGAATTTTAGAGAAAATACAAAAAGTTCAATAAAAAGCTCCAATGATGCAAATAATCTTCGATAACATCAATAATAACATTTTTTTGAACAACATGAAAGTTTACCTTACACAAATTCAATTACTCCAATTTAGGTATCAGATTTTTAAACAAGTAAACAGTAATCAGATTTAAGTTTTGATGCATTTAGAAAAAAAGCCTAATTCACTTCTCCATATGTAAATACTAAAATAATTTTAGGCAATATCTTTATAGCAAAGCTCTTAACCAATTCAAACAGCTTAAAAACCATAAAGAAATGATGATGAAAGTAGTGAAAGTTTTTCCAATTTTACACCACCAAACAAGGAAGTTAGAGAATTTTTATCAAAATAATGCATTTATTAAGACTAAGATTGAGATTTATTTTTACCTTTAGTTTTATTAATGTTCAAAATATTTAGACTGATAGAGACACTTGGTCGATTCTTCAAAAAACCACCAGCAGGGACAGGTAGACGTATTGCCATGTCTCCATTCTTTAAAAATATTCTAACCGAAGATGAAGAAGAAAACTTCAAAAGACAGGAGATTTTTTATGATCCACATACGTAATATATGAATAAATTGAAGATATTATTTGAGATAATAGAAGATTTAGTCTTACTAAAATGAACTTATGTAGAAAAATCATTAAAGGCGTGATGAAAGTGGTTTATCCGAATTAGGTATATTTAATCTCGAATTTCTAGTGATTACAGCAAAAATGCCTGAAAGAAATTAATTATCACACACAGGAGATTATTAAATTCATAATTAAGACAGTTTTCTTCATTCAATTCAACTTGGTAGAAAGGGAGCTGAAAATCATTTTTTCAGTTTAGATGATGTTGAATCAATTTTTAGCTCTTTCGAATAGGATATAAATTTCGATATGTAAAACTTTAAAACATATATAGAGAGGATAGCATAGTGTATCAGCATTGAAATATTCTCAGTTATTTAATAATATAAATTACATAATTCTTTTTTAATCATTTTGAATGAAAAAAAACAATCGTTAAAGAACTAACAATGATTCTTCCATTAGAACAAGAAGTAGGTAGAAATCCATAAATGAGAATGAGGAAAAAATAAGAAAATAAATCGATGAAGAGTTTGAGAAACAAAAATAACAAGCAAAATTATAAGTTCAAAATTTACTTTAAGATGAAAGTAGTTGTAATAAAGCAGATCTTAAAAAGGAGATCGTTAAAGGAAGAGTAGCAGTAGATGAATGTTTTCTTTACAAAGCTGACTACCATGTTTACGAGATTAATAATCAAATTTATGATTCTCTATTGAACCAAACTAATATTGCTTCAGGTAATAACAACAACAAATTTTACATAGCATAAATCTTAGAGAGTGATAAATAGCCTTGTAAGTCTTGTTATTTTATTTTAGTTAAGTACTATTTTTTCACTAGATGGGGCAGAGTAGGTTAAAAGGGTTAGCACGCAGCAAAAGAATTGTCTCTATAATCTTGTATCGATGAATATGAGTAAAAAATTTATGATAAAACTGTTGCAGGTGATTATAAAATTTTAGAAAAATTCCTCATTCAATAAAATACTGAGTCATCTGATGAAATGGTACATTATGAAAAATCGATGTTGTAAAAAGAAATTAAAAATTTTCTTAAACTTATTTATGATATTAAAATGATGGATAAATAAATGATGGAGTATTAACAATTTTATTAATTTCAGGATTGGTTATGATTCTTCAAAAATGCCATTGGGAAAGTTAGGCAATGAAACCATAAAAAAAGGTTATTGTATATTAAAGAAAATTGCAGAAGCAATAAATGAAACCAAAATAGCTAAAGCCAAAAAAAAATGTTTATTAGAAAGTTTATCATCTGACTTTTATTCTTATATTCCTCATAACAATGGATACTCAAAATTAAAATCTTTGGATTCTAATTCAGATATCAAAGAAAAATTAGAAATGTTAGCTTCTTTAGAGGCAATTGAAATAGCAACAAGTTTAATCTAAAATCATAATGGAAATATCTTTGACAATTACTACTTTAAGTTAAATTCAAAAATAAAGTTGATTGATACAGCTTCTGCAGATTATGATATAATTGAAAAGTATGTTGAGAATACTCATGGAAGTACTCATTCTAATTACAATCTAAAAGTATTAGAAATATTTAAGATTAAGAGGAAAGGAGAAAAAGAAAAATTTAAGAATTTTGGTAATAGGATGTTATTATGGCATGGTTCAAGATTAACAAATTTTGTAGGAATTATCAGTCAAGGATTAAGAATTGCCCCTCCTGAAGCTCCATGTACTGGATATATGTTTGGAAAAGGTGTTTATTTTGCAGATTCTGTTTCTAAATCAGCTAATTACTGTTGCACATCACCTTCCAATCCTGTAGGATTAATTTTACTCTGTGATGTTTCACTAGGAAAATGGTAGGAAAGAACTTAAGCAGATTACGAGGCAAGCAATTTAGAACCAGACTGTTAAAGTACAAAAGGCATTGGGAAAATGGCTCCTACTTAAAATGTTTAATTTTCAGATTTCAAAGTTCCAATAGGAAAATTAGAGGATTAATAAATTGATAGTGATTTGATGTATAATGAATACATCGTATACAATGTCGACTAAGTTCAAATAAAATATTTGGTAAAATTAGAATTTATATATAAATAAAAAATAAAGTGATTCTAAATTATTGTAATTATTAATTCTTTTTATGATAAATATTTATTCTTTTGTATTTAGAATTTTTTTGTCTTTCGAAAAACTCAGGAATTTTTGAATTAGACTAAGATTTAAAAATTTAATTGTAAATATTTATTGTTAAAAGTTAAAAACATACATTTTAAGATAAAATTTATGTGGAATTTATCATTTAAAAAAGAAAATTGCAGATTTAGAATTATGGTAAAATTCCTCTGACTTATTTATCTTATTGATTATTTATTAGCCGATTTTTGTTATATATTTTTTCTTCATGTTAGGAATTCTGTGACTTTGTAATCTATTCGATCGAATTGAATATTAATATAATTCAAGTTTTTGATTAATAAAAAAATTTTGAAACAATATTATCTTTCACATAGGATTAAAGACTAGGATCTATCAATTATTTTTATTAAATCAACACAAAAATTTAGAGATCAGAAGTAATCAAAAAGTTTATTTTTAGTGCCAGAGCTATTCATTTCAGACAGGACTATACCATATCAATCTTACCAGCGTCCATAAGCCAATACTCATCCTGGATCAATAATGAGAGATAATGTCCAATACTATGATTTTGTGGGCAGTTCCTTACCTTGTGAATATTTGTTTGTTCTAGGGAGATATCCTTAGATGCATGAGAAACCTTCTCCTCCCTGGATTCAATAATGATAAAAACATAAATATTATCTCGAGTATAATGATTTAAACAGGCAATTAGATATTTTAGAAGTTTATCTCTTTTTCTATAAATATTGAAAGAGACCTACATTAAAGATAAATAAAAAAATTTCCTATTTATTGTGAAAATTAATCTGTCGATTGGTATTTTTAAACTGATATATAAAATGTATGAATTTAAATAGATATTAATTGACAATATAGATTTCTTGCCTTTAATATAAAGAATGAAAGGTTTTTCAAAATTCTATTTTATTATCAATTGTACTTAAATATATTCTAACTCATCAATAATAATTAAATTATTAATTTCAATATTATAAATATATAAATTAATTTCTTAAAATTTCCTTCAGAAATATATTTTTGAATTTTAGAATCTTATCAATTACTTTCAAAAATTCCCATAGACTATTTAAATTTATTCGATTTATTAATATCTCAGATGCTTAACTAAATGTGTAATTTTAATATTTCCTTAAAATCACAAGAATAACAAGCATTGAGTTTATATTTTCCATAACCAAACAATTTTCATTAATATCAAAATTTTATTTTCATTCTCTCCCAGATTTATTTTTTCAATACCAACACAATTTTATTTCGACTTTTTTATCAATCACACCATTAAAAATTATAATCATTTAATATATTTATAATAGATTTGAATTTTCTTATTCTTAAATTTAATCATATCAAAACTCTTTGCTCTATTTTGCCATCCTTATGTGTGGAAATACTAAAAAAATGTATTCTTGATCTAACTCTCTGTCAAATTATTAAAATAATTATGAATTTCTTAATGTTTACCTATTGTTGTTTAATTAGGTTGTTAGCTCAAATACTTTTTTAAATTGTTCCAAACTTTTTCTATAAGATTAAATTATGATATGGAGGCAAAAATTTATGAGGTATGACTTTCAAGATTTTTTAAACTTTTTACAGTGATGGACTCTAGAATTATCAAAAATGAAAACCAAATTTTTTCCAGAATAATGATTGCTTACATTCTTATATAATTGAATCAAATGTTGAGCATACAATTCTCCGTTAACGGTTCCAATCAGTACTTAATATGCCAAATAGCCATTTTAACTTATTGCCCCTAATATTCCTATAGTTGATGTTGGTTTATAACATCAATTATTTTCAACTAATCTCGTCCTTGCCAAATTTTAGGAATTTCGACATTATGCCCTAGACTTGATTCATACTTTTGGTCCTCCTCACATCAATTGAAAACACTTTCATTTAATGTGGGTCGAATTCATAATACTTATTAATTTAGATGAAGGTTAACTTCTAAAACTAAAATTTTGAAAATATTAAAATCCAGAATACAGTATTGGTGAGAGCTAATTTTGTTCGATGTAATTTTAAGGGATCTTCATTTGAAAATATAGATATAAGTGGAATTAATTTAAATGGAGCTCTGCCATTTAATTGTAAACAGAAGAAGGCATAAATAGAGGAAATGACTAAACTAGAGGGTCATAAATAAGCTGTGTAATCAGTATGCTTCTCTCAAGATGGAACTACATTAGCATCTGGTAGTAGAAATTAGTCTATTCGTTTCTGGGATTGTATGATGGGTTAATAAAAGCCAAATTAGATGGTCATAGTGATTCTGTCAACTCAGTCTGTTTCTCTCTTGATGGAAATACATTAGCTTCTGGTAGTTATGATAACTCTATCCGTCTATGGGATATCAAAACAAGTATTGTTCAGATTATAGATTTAAAGAAATTTAGGTTATAAATACAAGATATCCTTTTTTTAACACCCCTTTGCAGTAAAAGAATATTATTTAAAATTTAGATATTTTCCTTTTAAGAGAATTATTGGAGTAAAAACAAGAAAAATTAATGAATTAATCATAGAACTCAATTTTTGTATAAATTAAAATAGTCATATAAAATAAAAATATTCTATATTATTAAAAAATCAAGTAATGCAATTGTTGAAATGAATTCTCAATAGCATCATTTACAACTTTTACAATCAATTCCAAATCTACACAAAATCCTAACTTCTATTTTTCAGAAATGCACAAGATACTTTTATCGATTTTGCAGTATATAACTAAAAGTAAGAGTAATAGAAATTCATTATTAAAAATAATGAATTGCACTTATCATATCAAAAGTCCAATATCTTTGATATGTATAGCTCCTCACAAGTGCTAAAGAAAACTTTGTGTAGAATGCCAATATGAACATGGAGTGGATCTCAAAAAAACAGTTCCCATTAATAAATTTCAAGATATGGCAATGAAGAAATTGAAAGACTCCAAGCTTGATGATACATCTGAGTTAACCAAACAGAGAGTGGCCTTTAAAGCCTTGCTCACTCAAACAGAATAAATGATGAAGAAAATTTGGGAGGACTTGTCACAATCAATCAAATAAGTTTACGATTGGATTGAAAAGGAAAACTAATCATACTTAAACCTCCTCAATGAAAACACTAATCTAGCTGAATCCTCTTACACAGACTTAGAAAAATTAGTCAACATTGTAGAAGGATCAATTTTAAATGATTGGAATGTTTCAAAGGATTCTTATATGAAGGAGTTAGATAAGACCAAGAGCTGGTGGGACCAACATATAAAGGCTTTTATTGAGAAGTCTAACGAAGGAATCCAATAGATCCAATAATTACTTAAGTAAGTATTATATATACTATCTCTAGGGAGGATGAAGAAGAAGTTTATTAAATGAAAGAAGATCTTTATGAGATGCTAACCTACATCCAGGATATAGATGAATCTCTCTATTAGAAGATTCTTGATATA